GGGAGAGGGAGAAGCAGGCTTCCCGCCGAGCAGGGAGCCCGATGCGGGACTTGATCCCGGGACCGGGATCATGACCTGAGCCGAAGGCAGACGCTTAACGACTGAGCCACCCAGGCGCCCGAACTTTTCTTTTTTTAAAGATTTTATTTATTCATTTGAGAGACAGAGGATGAGCAGGGAGAGGGAGAAGCGGACTCCCCATTGAGCAGGGACCCTGACGTGGGGCTCGATCTCAGGACACTGTGATCATGACCTGAGCCAAAGGCAGACACCCAACCTACTGAGCCACCCAGGTGCCCCACCTTAGAACTTTTAGTCCCTGTTCTTTTTAGTTGTAGTTTATCCTTCCCAAGCCCAGAAACCTAGGCATTAAGATTAAATTTTAGTAAGATTTACTTTCTGTTTTTGCTGTCACTGAAATACCCTATGTGAGTTGAACTGGAAAAACAATAGCTGGTAGACGAAAGCTATTCAAAAAATGACCTCTAGATAAGATTTTAAGTATTCTTAAAGTGCTAACTCACATAATTCTACAATTTTATGACATCAGTAGCATAGAAAAGACTCTCAGGTATTTGTCATGTGGCCAGATTTAACCCCAGAATGAAACAAAATTGATACTTTGCAAACAGTTCTGTTTATTGGTGAAGATAGTGAACTTGATCAAGTGAAGTTTTTGGCCAGGATCATCTGTGTAAACTAAGTTAGTCCTATGATTTTCATGTCTGTTTGTCATATTTAGTGTGTAGACATAAGTGTAGAATCCAAAGAATGTTGAGGCAGGGTAAAAAAGTGACCAAAACCAGATCAAGACACTACATAAAAAGAGAACTGCGGGCCAATATCTCTGATGAACAGAGATGCAAAAATCCTCAACAAAGTATTAGCAAACCAAATCCAACATCATTCACCACAATCACTTGGAGTTTATTCCTGGGATGCAAAGGTGGTTCAATATTGGCATATCAATCAATGTGATACGTATCAGTAAGAGAAAGGATAAAAACCATTTGATCGTTTCAGTAGATGCAGAAAAAGCATCTGACAAAGTACAACATCCATTCGTGATAAAGACCCTCAACAAAGTAGGGTTAGAGGGAACATACCTCAAAATAATAAAGGCCATATATGAAAAACTCACAGCTAACTCAGTGTTGACAAACTGAGAGCTTTTCTCCAAAATCAGGAGCAAGACAAAGATGTTCACTCTCACTGTTGTTATTCAACATAGTACTGGAAGTCCTAGCAATCAGGTAAGAAAAAGGAATAAAAGGCATCCAAAATTTTTTTTTTTTTTTAAGATTTTATTTATTTGAGATAGAGCGAAAGAGAAAGCACAAGCATGGGGCAGAGGGAGAAGGAGAAATAGGCTCCCTGCTGAGCGGGGAGCCCTATGCGGGGCTCAATCCCATGATTTTGAGATCATGATCTGAGCCAAAGGCGGATTCTTAACCAGCTGAGCCACCCAGGCACTCCAAAGGCATCCAAATTGGTAAGGAAGAAGTAAAACTTTAACTATTTGCAGATGACATGGTATTATGTATAGAAAGCCTTAAAGACTCCACCAAGAAACTGTTAGTGCATTTCTCTACACTAATAATGAAGCAGCAACAGGAGAAATTAAGAAAGCAGTTTCATTTACAATTGCACCAATACCTAGGAATAAACTTAACCAAGGGGGTGAAAGACCTGTACACTATAAAACATAAAACTATAAAACATTGATGAAAGAAATTGAAGACAACACAAAGAAATGGAAAGACATTCCATGCTCATGGATTGGAAGAACAAATATTGTTAAAGTGTCCATACTAC